ACTGAGGTAGACAGAATTAGGGTCTAGCCCTAGGAAGTAAGGTGACTAAGGTGATAGCTGGCCTGAATGAGTGCTGTTAATGTCACCTTGGGGGCCCAAAGTTAAACCATTGAGAGCCTGGTTTCCCCTTCAACTCCCTACCCGCACCCCAAATGTGTGACCTTGGGCCCGCTGTTCCATGTTTATGTGTTAGTGTCTCTCCTGGGTAAAGTAGGATGGGGTGTGTGTGAGTGAGTGACAGGATCTAATGAGTTGGAATGTGAAAAGCCTTTGACAGCTGGGCATGGTGGGGCATCCCTGTAATCCTGGCACTCAGAGGCTGAGGCAGGATCAGGTCATATATCAGCTTTGAGTTTGAGGCCAGCCTGGGCTACATAGTGAGTTGAAAGCTAGCAAGACGGTGCTTGGGGAAAAAAAGTGTTTGATGGAACCAGTTACTGGACTGTGCTGAGGAGTTCTGACCCTGTTTGGGATGGGAACTTTTTTTTTTTTTTTTTTTTTTTGCGGTACCAGGGATTGAACTCAGGATTCTGCACTTGCCAGGCAGGCACTTATTCCACTGAGCTATGTCCCCAGCCCAGGATGGGAACATCTTTCAGCTGGACTCTGGGAGGGGGCCAGCAGGTGCAGATGGCCAAATACAGTGTCAGCAAGAGGAGGAGTTTCAGTTTCTGTCAAAACAAGTTCTCTGAATTCCCCTACTTCTGCAGGTCCATTATTTTTTCCCCACCTTAGGCTCCCCACGGGGCAGTCTAGCCCAGCCCCCAGCCCCACAGGCCAGCCTTCTGGGAGGAGGAAGGCTTCCTGGGAAACAGAGGTGGGGCTAAGAAAATTGGAGAAGCCAGTTGCCCTGTGCTGGATGCTTTCTCTGCTTCCAACATTGAATGAATCCTTGTTCTCTTCCTGGTTGAGGAGGTACTTCTGCTGTTTCCTTGGTCCAGAGATGCCAGTTTTCTTTTATATTCCAAAATGAGGGTCCAGTTTATAATAGGGGCTCCCCCCAAAGTAGTGATGCGTGAAGAAGTGTCACAATTGGCCCCCTACTTAAGAGACCTTAGGCACCCAGGCCTGTATCCCAGCAACGGGAGCCTGAGGCAGGAGGATTGTTGACAGTTCAACGCTAGCCTGGGCTACAAAGTCCAACATCAGCTTGAACTACATAGTAAGACCCTGTCTCAGACAAAAAAAGACAAAATGGGGGCAGGGGAACCCTATTGGAAAGACTATTACTACTGTGGTACAAATTTAGTTGCCAGAGATTTGAAGAAGGAGCACGAAGTAGACTTACAGACATTGGGATTCAGTGAGAGAAGAGAGCCAGTCTTGCTCGCAAGAGGAGGGACAGCCTCTACTGTGCATTGGGGGCTTTCCTCTGGCAGAGGAAGTGCAACAGAAATGAGGAAACACAGGCATGCTGGCTGACTTGTAGGTAACTAGCAGTGTGAAGGAGTCAGTTTTCAGGACAAATGGAACTCTCACTTGTCTTGACATCAAACACCCCATTAAGTGGAAGAAGAGTTACTGTCCCCACTTAAGGGGTAAGGACATTTCAGCCCAGGGAGGCCTTGTCTAGTGTCACACAGCCAGCAAATGGCAGGTCCTTGCTGCCAAGTAATGGAGTCATTGGCATGGAAAAATGGAAGAGTTTCATGGGGTTCTGCCCCAGCTCCCTGCCCTTCTTTTAAAAAAAAATTCCTGCATCTGGCTCTGACCTGCCAGTGTTCACTCACCTTTCCATAGGAGGTAGGTGTTCTCCAACACCTGAACCTGGCTGCAGACCCCGTTTAACTCCTTCACTTCCATCTCAGTTCCTGTTTACTGCAGCTGCAGACAGCACTGCCTGCTGGTACCCCAAGCTTGGCCTACAGAAATAGCTCCTTGAGCAGCCTAGGCAGCCACAGAGGGCTCTGCGGTCCTGGCTTCTAAGAAAGGCAGCAGCAGGGGGCCCCCAGTCTGTTCAGGACATGTGACTTGCTGGAAGTACCTAGGGGTGGCGTGGTGGGGAGTATGGCCACAGAAGCCACATCCTTGTTTACATCCGTGAAGGGGCTACCCCTTCCCCCGCCTTCACAGCCCACTCCCCCTACCCTCAAGCTCTTGTCACCTCCAGGGGACTTGAAACAAGCAGCCTATTTTCTATCTCAGTAGCCTTTGTCTCTTATCACCCCAAATCCTCTTGGGAAGGAAGGGGCGGATAGTAAAGGCCTTCTTTTGGCTGGTCTTCATAGAGCTACACTCCTGGGCCTGGAAGAGCTCTGTGGTGTTCCCTTTGTGCCTGGACCCTGCCCTGGTGCCCCAGGGAGATCCCATCAGAGCAGTGACCCTTGGGGGAAACAGAGGGAAATTCCCTCTTGGTAACAAGTCAGTGGATATCAAGCTTGCTTAATCTTTAAGGCCTCTTAATTTTCCTAGAGAGAAGTGCTCCTAGGCTCCCCCAGCCTATAGGCTCTGCAAACTGTCCCTGATTTTTTTTGTTATACTGGGGCCTGAGCTGGGAGTGGGCCTAGGTGAAGTGCCCTCTCCTGTGGGTCAGAAAACTTGTTTCTTATTGAACTTAGGCCCTTGCACTTGTCAGGCCAGCACTTATTCTATTGCCATCTCCCCAGCCCCAGAAAACTTTTGAAAAATACAGTAAAAGAGGTGCCCTTGGGTGGGTGCTGATGCATGCCTGTAAAACCCAGTATACTCAGAGGCTGAGATAAGAGGGTTGTGATTTTGAGCCTAGCCTGGGCAATTTAGTGAGATTCTTTCTCAAATAAGAAAGGAATTGGGGGGGTGGCTCAGTAGAAGAGCTTGAGTTCAATCCCCAGTTCTGCCAAAAAAAAGGAATGGGGAAGGATATAGGTCAGTGTGGAGGCCCTGAGTTCGATCCTTAGTATTGCCAAAAAGAAGCAAATGTGGAGAACTGGGGTGTATGTCAGTAGTGCAGTGCTTACCTAGCCATATGCGAGGCCCTGGGTTTGATCCTTGGTGTCACACGCACGCATGCGCGCACGCACAGCTAGCTTGAGAAGTAGGTGCCGAAAGTAAATGGGAAGGGTGTCCTAAGCTGGGTGGGGTGGCACATGCCTGGAATCCCAGCACTCAAGAGGCTAAGGCAGAATTGCCACAAATTTGAGGGGAGTCTTGGCTACATAGTGAGTTCAAGGCTAGCTTAAACTACATAGTGAAACCCTTTTTCAAAAGAGAAAAAAAAAGTCCTAAGGAGAGAGAACAGCATGTACGATGGTCCTCAAGCTGGCAGAGGGAGTCTGGTTCCTTCTACTTTGACCAAATCCCATGGCACCTAGGTCATAAACTGCCCTTCCTGGATTAAGGTGAATTGCACATGTGTTCTGTCTCTTACCAGACTGTGTGCTTCTTGAAGGTGCATACAGGATTTTACCCTCACTTTCAAATCCCATTCCAGAGAAGGGGTCCCTGATTACCTAATGACTTCACTGTTGAAAGCCCACTGCTAGTCACATTATGTCCATTATCTCTTTTGAGCACCACAAGATGTCTCCTAGCTCGTTATCCTTGCAGTTGAGACATACAAGGCTCAGAACTCTTGAGTCACTTGCCCTTGGCTACCAAACACAGTAGTGTCTGGAGGGACTGAATTTAGAGCTCCTCTTCTCCCCTCCCTTCCTCTCTGCCCCTTCTCTTTTCTTGCTTTCCTGACCCATACCTCCTATTTTTTTTTTTGTAGGACAGTTTCAATAATTAACACATTGCATACATTCTTCCTAGTGGTTAATTGCTGTACAAGATGTGGACTTGATATCCTATTTACAAACACCATTAGAACAAATCCCTCTATTCATTACGAGAATGTAACTATATATCTATCCTAACCACTGAATACACAGATACAAAATGGATATTCATCTGTATCCCCTTTTTTTGTTAAGTTCCATCATTTAAATATTATAGGTGTGTAAACTCAGCAAAATATTCTAAAAGAGTTCAGTAGTCCATAATAGTATTGGGGCTTCTGCTTGACTGGCAATGTCAGAAATTGTTGACCTGAGTCCCCTACAGCTCAACATAACAGCATGGCTTTAC